TAGTGAGCTCTGATGTGGTTTTTGCTAACAGCTGGAGAGCATCTGGGGATGATGAGCCTGGTTGTGAGGCACAGTGTGGAGGTCTGGCCTGTGCTGGCTGCACTGCACAACAGACAGCATTGTACAGCAACACTGACCACTGTGGTATCCTCCGCAGTAGTTCTGGACCTTTTGCTGCTTGCCATCAACAACTTCCTCCACAGTCCTTTGCGGACAGTTGTCTGTATGATCTGTGTGTAGGAGGAGGGTACCAACCTATTCTCTGTCAAGCCTTAAGTGTGTATGCAAGTCAGTGTCAACAAAATAATATTCGGCTGCAAAGCTGGAGGAGAACCGGCTTTTGTGGTATATTAACCAATTTTTAAAAATTAATTCATAATATAATTTTATTAAAATGCCACAGATGCTAAAATCAATTTTTTTCTCTGCTTTCTAGAAATCCCATGCCCAGCCAACAGCCACTTTGAGTCTGAAGGCACAGGATGTCCAGCTACTTGTCTCAATCGCAACTCCACCCATAACTGTCCTCTCCCTGTGCAGGAAAGCTGCATCTGTGATTCAGGCTACATCCTCAGTGGTGGGGTCTGCGTCCCTCATGCTGAGTGTGGCTGCAGCTTTGAGGGCCGTTACTACCGCTCTGGACAAACTGTAATACTAGATGAAAACTGTGGGAGACGTTGTAGCTGCAGTTATGGCTCCATGACTTGCCACTCTCATGGTTGTGGGCCATTTGAATCATGCAGGGTGGAGGATGGAGAAAGAGGATGCAGACCAAATAGCTATGAAACATGCTGGATCAGAGGCCCGGGGTCATATCAGACATTTGATGGACTGACATACCATTATCCTGGGGCGTGTCGATTGACACTTGCCAAAGTTATGGGACTGTCCAGTCACCCAAACTTCACGGTGACAGCAGAAAAAGTGCCAAGAGGCCAGCTAGACTTTTCCAATGTGCTAAAGTTTGAGGCAGATGGGACACAGGTCTCAATTGAGATGGAAATAAACGGCAAAGTTCAGGTAAATGACAAAAATACAATTAAAAGTCATTTTAATGTGTCATAATGAAAGACACACAAAAAAAAGTTGACACAAGCAGATAAGCTACTAATAATAGGGAATCATTAAGTAGAGATCACTCTGTACTTATGCGGACATTATTCTACATTGTTGTTTTCATTGTAACCAGAATATTACACCAGAAAATCTGAAATAGGAAAGGTTACTTTTAAATACTGTCACTTAGCTTTGAGTTTTTTTTTTTCCTTATAAGAATGAATTCCTTTATAGTGTACCAAAATTATTCATTTTATATTCAATATTCATTTTACTTTTACTTTTTAATTTAGTATGATGTTATTTAACTAACTATCAATTTGTCCTACTGATATACTCCTTCATTTAAACAGACCATCACATCACAGGCTTCCATATGATCATTATAGTATGACATTTTTATAGTACCACAGTATAGTAAATACAACAGATGTTGATTATAGTGGTGTATATTGAAGCAGTTGAAACAGTTAGCACTTTAAAGCATAATAAATTAAAACAGTCAAGATGTAAGATAGACAGAACAGTTTGTTGCAGAGTTTTGGAGCTGCATTAAGGAAGACCAGTTAGCTCTAAGAGTCAATCTGGAAATTGTTACAAATAAAAATGATCTAATATAATAGCTCTAAACTGGTTGTTTGGTAAAAAAAATTATTATCTACTATATTCTACAATAAGTACCAAGCTTAGGACTTATTGGGAAATGACAGATGGAAACATCATTAACAAAATGGTCTTTACTTGAAAGTGTTATTATAATTATTATGACTGACTATTTTAACGTCTTTTAGGTGGCTGGTCAGGTGATCAGGCTGCCTTTCAGCGCTGGGTCCAATGGAATCCAAATTTTCTACAGCAACCTGCGCAGTGTCATCATTCGCACCTCCTTTGGTGTAACTGTGCAGACAGTCTGGCCTCACTTTGTCCGTGTCACTGCTCCTGGTGTCTACAGCGGTTCACTGGGTGGACTCTGTGGTAATTACAATGGTCGTCCGCATGATGACTTCCGCACACCCAATGGTGTCCTGGTGAACAGTTCTCAGGAATTTGGAGACAGCTGGCGAGATGGCTCTCTGGCTGCTCACTGCGTGGAAAGCAGAGGTCATGATCCTAGGACCGATTTTAATTCTAGTGAGTACTGTGGCATTCTCAGCTCACCAGATGGGCCATTTGTACCCTGTTGGTCTGTGGTTGACCCAAGGCAGCAGGTGGATGTATGTGTGAAGATCATGAGGGGCTCTAACAATCCAGCATCAACTCTGTGTGACGTCCTACGAGATTATGCACTAATGTGTCAACAGAAGGGTGTTGCCTTAGGACAATGGAGAAATGCAACTGGCTGTGGTAAGCATTCACTTGTTTTTGAAGTAATTCTAGCCATGATCTCCAAATGCTTAAAAATGCTTTTTTATGTTAACCTGTTTGTTTTTCTCCAGCACTAACCTGCCCGTCAAACAGCCATTATGAACTCTGTGGAACCTCTTGTCCTTCTGCTTGCCCCAGCCTCTCTTTCCCCTTCACTTGTGATACTGTGTGCCAGGAGGGCTGTCAGTGTAACAATGGTTTTATCCTCAATGGTGACCAGTGCGTTCCACCAACATCTTGTGGATGCTATCATCAAGGACGCTATCGCGAAAGTGGTGAGCAGTTTTGGGATGGTGAACAATGTCAGAGCTTGTGTACCTGTAACGGCGCTACAGGGAACGTCCACTGTACTCCCAACTCCTGTGGGCCCCAGGAGTCCTGCCGTGTGGTGGAGGGCGGGTTTGGCTGCCATCCCAACCCTTCTGGCACCTGCTCTGCCTCTGGAGACCCTCACTATTTCACCTTTGATCGTAAGGCCTATGACTTCCAAGGAACATGTCGCTATGTTCTGGTGACCCTTTGTAATGCCACTAATGAGCTGAATCAGTTTTCTGTGGAAGCTAAGAATGAGGCATTGAATGGGTTGCCAGTTTCAGTCACAGCAGAAGTTTTCGTGAATGTGTGGGGCTATCATGTGCACATGTCAAGATACAACAGGGGTATGGTAGAGGTGAGCGGAACTGTTTCTGAACAATTACTCATATTTTACATCTTAAAAAGCAAAATTTAAAGCCACAGACAGTTGCAGATGAACCTACCATGAGAGAGACCTCCACTTAACTGCAAAGTATTGTTAGAAAATGGACAACACAAAATTGCTGTAAAGGAATGTTAAAGAGAAAGTAGTCTGGAAACTTCAATTTCTTCACTAAAGAGCCTCACTGAGTTTATTTTTAACAATGAGCTATCACTTACACTTGTAGGGACAGTAATAAAAAATAACCAAATGTGAGAGATCCTTGGTAAATAATTGCCATGTGCTGTTGGTCATTGTGCTGCTATTACATTTGTTTAGTACTGACATATGACTACGGATAAAGGGCATATGAATAAAATTAAATATTTTTGGCTTTCCTAAATTGTTCTTCCAATGTCCCAGGTAAATGGAATAACGCAGAATGTACCAATTCTCTTGAATGGAAGTCGAGTATCTATCTTTGCCAGTGGATCTCGAACAATTGTCCGCACTGATTTTGGCTTAAGCGTCATATACGATGGATGGAGTACAGTTTCTATCACTGTGCCTCCAAATTACAGGTATCTGCCATTCATCTTCGCTCAAAATCAGTTGGTGTTGCAATTATTCACACACTCACACCTTTAAAAGTGTTCATAGTTGTGCACTACCACACTTTTATAACATAATTCGAATGTACAAGATTTTATTTGGCTCAGAATGGTTTTTTGGGTTTTCCCTTAGGTTTGTTATTCTTCCTTTGGTAAAACCAATTAATCTGTTTTATCTTACTGTTCTCATCAAAAGGGGAAAAACATGTGGACTTTGTGGAAACTTCAATGGAAATTCAAATGATGACTTCTACACCCCATCAGGAATAACAGTCACATCTCCAGATGAGTTTGGGAGAGCCTGGAAGGTCCCAGGAAACTACACCTGCAGTGATGGATGCGGCTCATCATGTCCGAGATGTCCCAATGAACAGCCCGCTAGAGGTCAATGTGAGGTGATCCAGGCAGCTGATGGCCCCTTCAGTTTCTGCCACGATAAGGTGGACCGTGCACCATATTTCAACGACTGTGTGTTTGACGTGTGTGTGGCAGGAAATCGAGGTCATGACCTCCTTTGCAGGGCTCTTGAAACATATGTTAGAGCCTGTCAGTCTGCTAATGTTCAAATCTACCCTTGGAGACAAAATACCACCTGCGGTGAGTAAACCTGGCATTGTGTTGCTGATATAGTATCAAGCACAAGAAAATAAAATGCTTCTTTTTTGTTGTTGTTTTTGTAAGTGTGTTGAAATATGGTGTCTAAGTTTCATGACTGTTTTTTTTTAACCACCTGACATCCATCTTTTGCTTTCTTGATTTTTCAGCATTGAACTGTCCAGCCAACAGCCATTATGAGCTGTGTGGTACTGACTGTGGCCACACCTGTGCCAGCAGTAATGATACCACCTGTGAACAGGCTTGCTCTGAGGGATGTTTCTGTGACGAAGGCTACCGCAGGAGTGGAACCAGTTGTGTCCCAGTGGAACGCTGTGGCTGCCAGTATAATGGATTCTACTATAATGTAAGTTCTACAAAGAACCATAGAGCTATATAAAAGAGGGATATAGTTTAAAGGTTTTAATTTCATAAATGATTTGAGCAGATAATTAACAATGACAGCTTGGCAACAGTAAATACATGGTAGGCTTTACTATGAACTGTGGTTATTCTTCCTCTTTTTGTTATATTCTCTCACACAGGCTGGCGAGTCCTTCTGGACAGACGGTTGCTCACAGAGATGTGAATGTCACGCTCCAAATGACCTGCGATGTTCTGCTGAGTCTTGCACTCCTGCACAACAGTGCTCCATCAGAGACGGCCAGCTGGGCTGTTACGATGCCATGTCCACCTGCACAGTGTGGGGGGATCCACACTACATCACCTTTGATGGAGCAGTGGCTCATTTCCAGGGAACTTGCTCCTACATCATCACTGAGAGCACAAACCATGGCACTAACGAAACCCAGTTCCAAGTGATAGCCACCAACAATCACCGTGGAAACAACCGTGTGTCATTTGTGTCTGCAGTGGACATATATCTCTCAAATCATCCAGAAAGTGTGCACATCAGGATCGGACCCAATAAAAGAGTAACGGTAAATACTAAGCTTTCTACGTTTCGCTCATATGAACACCTTCACAGCAGGTACTTTGCATGTCTCTCATAACTCTTGTTCTTCTAGGTAAATGGTGGAGAAGTGTCTCTTCCCACCTCTGCAAGAACTTTAGCTCAGGTGGTAAGGGAAGGCAGCTACATAGTTGTTGATGCACTTGACCTGGCGGTCCAGTTTGATGGCCAGAGTACTTTGTTGGTAAGAATCGCCCAAAACCGTCAAAACAGAGTCACAGGTATGTGTGGAAACTTCAATGGCGACTCTGGGGATGACAAAGTCTCACCCAATGGCACACTGGCACAAAATGACAATGACTTTGGACAGAGCTGGAAGTCAACAAGAAGCCAACCAGGGTGAGCTGTTTGGAACTTCTTTAGGATATTCCAAAAATAGAGTCTTGTTGACCATCATCAACTAATATAACATAATGTCTTGCTTTGAATGAGAAGATTTTATGGACATTTAAGGACAACAGCATATATATTACATCCCAGTAAAAATAATAAATGTACTGTTGTGTTGAGTGTGAATTGGGAGTGTAGATGTACAGGACATTTTACCAAAGTACACAAAATTTCCCAAAGTGTTAAACATATAATGTCTTTTCCAGATGTGGGTCTACTGATCAAAGAAGTGGCGATGGACTGAATGACTGCACCTTTAGAGAAGAATACTCCCAACTCTGCAGTGTCATCACCAACACCACCGGTCCATTCAGAGCCTGTCACCTGCACTCTCACCCTGAGCCATTTTTCTCTTCCTGTGTCTATGACCTCTGCCTCTACACTCCAGCCAATGGCATGCTGTGTTCTGCTGTCTCAGCCTATGAGAAAACCTGCTCTGTTCTAGGGCTAGACATCCCTGACTGGCGCTCTGGTTTACTGTGTGGTAAGTTTGTGCTGGATAATTAAGTGATGTCTTTTTGATGTCTTTTGATAGAGCTTAACAGGTTTTTCTTGAAAGATTGGCTTTCTTTTATTGTACCCCTGTCACTCTTCTTCTGCAGAGGAGTCAGACCCATGTGAACAGCTGGACTGCACCGAGTACGAGTGGTGTGGTAAGAAGGACGGTGTCTATGGCTGCTTCTGTGATGAACACCATGACCGAGGCAACAATGAAAGCTATGGTGAAGGAAGCTCCTACTTAAACCTTTTTTTATTTTTGGGTCATTGGCAATGGTACTGCAGTGCAGTTTGTACAAGAAAAATGGGATTTGTTAGTTATTTGTTTTCTTATTCTTCTTTTTAAACTTGTATTAACAGACTCAGCCATCACTTGTGCCAGTAGTTCAGGCACCATGTCTGTGTCCCGTTGTCAGCTATTTGAGGCTGGCTTTCACTCTGATGCCCTCCATCTCCGAGATGAATCCTGCAATGGGACTCTTGAGTATGGTCGACTGGTGTTCCACTTTGACAATGACAATCATCTGTGTGGGACAGCACTCAGGGTATATTATGGATAGTCACTGGTATTATACATGTCATGTATTGTGAAAAGGAAATGACATCATATTCAATCATATTCAATTTGTAATGTTTCGTTTTTTTTAATTTTAGAGCAATGGAACACATTTCATGTATGAGAACATCGTCCAGGGTTTTGTGGATCCTCTTGTGGATGGAAGACTTATCAGCCGCCAGAGGAGCATCAATCTGCGTTTCTGCTGCGAATACCCCCTGAATCAGGCCCTGTCTATGGCTGTGGGCATCAATCCTGTAGAAAGGTAACAATACATCTCCTATGCATTATATACAATACTTAGATTCGATTTTTACATATTCCAGTGTTTTATGTAATTAAATGTGCACTTCAGGCATCTTTTGGGAACTTATTTTGAAAGATGGTGCTTTAAGATCACAATCCTGACAATGAGACAAAAAATAACATGAAAATGAGAACGTCATTTTTGCCGCACATTAACATTACACTTTTTGATGTTCATGCATGTTAATAGTGTTCATCATTTAATAATGAACTCATTTGTAGTATTATTATGTTTTTTGTAGCATCATTAGGAAGAAGATTGCAACCGGTCAAGGACAGTACAGCTTGAGAATGATCCCCTTCCAGGACCCTGGCTTCCGCTTCCCCTTCAGCGGTGACACAAACATACAAATGGAAATAGATCAGAGGTTATATGTGGCGGTGAGAACAGAAGGAGTGGATCAAAGCCAGATCTCCACCATTCTGGACTCCTGCTGGGCCACACCAGTCAACATGCCAAATTACCCCGTCCGCTGGGATCTTATTACTGCAGAGTAAGAGCACGTTTGCAGTGTCACCTTGTATTAAAAACTTGAAAGAATTAGCCCGAGACAGACCTCTCCTCGATTTTCCACCAATTCTTCCTCATAATGAATTCTGCTGCTTTGCTTTATAATCTGGGATATTTAAACATCTACCTGTCTTCCAGGTGTCCCAATAAAGCCGATGGAACAGTAGAGCTGATTCAGAACGGCATCTCTATTGAGGCCCGATTCTCCTTCAGGATGTTCACTTTTACCAACTATTCATCCATTTACATTCACTGCAATGTCCACCTGTGTCTTTTGAGACACAACAATTGCACAGCTGTACGTACCACTGTTTTAAATTCTTATTGGTTTTCATTCTTACCTTATAAATTTAAAAACTGTTAAATCTGCAGAAGCCTATAAACATTTTTTTTCTCTCAGCGCTGTTACCCGGGTTACCACAGGCGAGTTCGGAGGGATGCATCCTTCCATGAGACTTCATCCATCTCACTTGGACCGCTTGTTTCAAGGCCAGGTAGCAGAGGTACATTGAAGCTCTCATGTCTCTTCACCTTGCACTCTTATAGATTACATAAAGTTTACGGATAAAGTAAATGTAAACTTTGGTTCTTCTCTTGCAGACCCAGTGATGCAATTAAACAGTGGCCAAAGCCAAGTGACACCTCTGCTAGCCCTGGTGGCCAGTTTGATCCTAGCCAGCATGCTGGTAACCTTGCTGGTCAAACGGTTTGCTCCCAAAACTCCAGTCTAGAAACCGCCAAAACTCTGGAGATCAAAATTGATCCATATTTTGAAAATCATTCATTATTCAGTTACTTCTAAATGGTATTTTTCATCTGAGTGTTCTTTTTTCTTTTCTTGAGGAGTGTTTCTTTAGTTGTGGTAAGGTGTGCAGTAAGTTTGCTTTAAATCTAAATGGGATAAAATATGTGTGATATTAAAGTTTTAACCTTCTTGTTGCATTCACTGTTTGTTGATAAGATTAACTTGTTCTTGGTTTCTGTGTGAGAGTTTTTATAATTAAATCTACATCATAATTAAAATAATGATGTATAATCAAGGGCAAATCAAGGATTAAATAAAGTATTTAGTGCACATATACTTGTCTCTCAGAAACTCAACCAACACTACTTTGGATTTACAAAATAAAGTGATAGTACAAAGTGAAGTACAATAAACTGGGTACCTACGGTTTGAGCTACAATTTAATATCATTACCTGATTACTATTTTTGCTTCGTTTTATCAGTTGAAATAAAAGTTAATGAATGATCGCCTAAATGTATCACAAATCATTCATAACATTGAATAAAAATCTGATTATGAACAATGTCTATTTCTTATCTCCAGTAAGATCATACAGTAAAACGTGTTGTTGAATAAATTCTCACTTAGTCATTCTGTTATTGAAGTAGAAGGCCTAGAAGTTGATCTTTAGCACCCAGCTGCAACCCGCAATACTGTTATGGATTTTTATCCATGTTTATTTTTGGAGTAAAGCTATTTGTACACAATATGCAATCTTTACTGTCACAATTCCACAAATCAGTGACTCATCTGTTAAAACATTTGTGCTTATGATTCTAAACTGAGAGTAGAAATGATCTCCCAAATAACATAGTTTTAATTGTTGCTCATTGATTGTTAAGCGCATCTGTGCTTGTTTGTTGCAA